TATAAGTGTTATGCCCTATGTGCAATCAACTTTGAACATTAATACTTTTAATATATAATTAATGCATTTCATTTATGGCAAATTTGTTATTTAATTTAATTAATATTCTAATAAATTAAATAATAGAGTCCGTAAATTTAATTCTTGGTAATTTGTTAATTACAAGGAATTGTGATTGTGAAATACAAATTGTTTATGACTAAATTTTAAATCATCCGTGATCGTAAGTAATAACGAAATACAGATATTGTTATTACTGATAGATCATCATGTGTGACATTTTTTACTTGTGAAGTAAGTAGTTGATCTCATAAGTTATAGTGTGATGACACTTAAGCGAATACATAGATGTTTTGTTATAGAACAAAACATTGGAGACCTACTATGAAGATTTCACACAAATAATTACCTCAGTGTCAGTGTTTAATTTCTAACGTTCGATAATGAAATTGGTGCTTTGATTTGACATTATCATAGCGCCTGAGGATGGACAGACTTTGGTGATATCGAATATTGCTCTGCCAAGAGTCGCTTATACAGTATCGTTTGAGTATGTCAAGAATCAAATGAAGGTTTTAAATGATCAATAGAGAATTTGTCACTCTAATACAGTAAGAAATTATAATTTACATTTCATTTAATTAAGTTGATAACGAAATCTTTGACCAATATGTATTCATAAGTCGAAAAGGAGTTTTCAATTTATAATGATTTAATAGCGAAATGAAAGATATGGTCGATAATTGAGATCGACACATATCTATATCTCGTAAATGATTGGATCATGTTGACGAAAGGATTATAGTTTTACGATAAACGAATAAGCTTGATTTTGTCATAACATGTGACATTTTCGTCACATGTATTGTGCTGATGACGACGAATTTGAATTGATGATAAATTAAAAAGGATATTTTAATTCATCGATTTTGATTAGATTAAAATAAAAATTCACATCATTAGACATTGTGTTTTGAAAACCTAATGGTCACACACAAAAGGAGAACTAGAAGAATGAGATTTACCGATTAATTAATTGACAAATGTTGGATGATTTATTGATTTGTTTGTTTATAGGCCCGAATTAATTAATTAATTAATTGAATTAATTAATTCTTTGACCGAATTTAATTAACCAGATTAATTACATTTTGAATCGGATTTATTGATTAAGTTAAGAGGCCGAACAAGTCCACTTGAACTTATATTAATAAATTGCTAGGGTTTGAAAAAATTAAAAGAGAATACAATTAATATTCATGTTGACACGAGAAATGAAAAACTCTAGTTCTCTCAATCTTGTTTTCTATATGGATTTTCATTGGATGTTGAACAATTGGACGCATGTGGATTGCAGATCGTGATTGTTCGTATTCTAAGATCATCAAAGGAGTTTGCAGAATTTATCAAAGGTATTATTCCATCACAGTTTCTATCTAACATAAAGAAGATTCTCCATGGAAACTGAAATTTTTGTTTAAATTCCACTTTTGACTGTGCATATTAAGTAAATTCTTAACATAGATATGCTTGATTGTTTATATCTATCTTCAGACCCTATTACGCTCAACATGCATAAAAAGACTATAGTAAGAAAAAATTATATTTTACTAAATTTTATAATATTTAGAAAAGAATTCTTTGTTTGGACGTGTTTGT